TGATTAAATTATATAAAGGAAAATGTTAAACAACTTTTGGATGAAAAGAATAAGCATGTGATCGAAAGTTAGCCAATCCATTTTTTTCTTTGACCAAATGACCAAAAACACAATTTTTTTTTTTTATATATATACAAATTTTCAATACTAATTTGCATAAAATGAAAAAGATTATTATAAAACATCGGCACTTTTTACATGATGATCTGATTTTAAACCATATTCTTCCTAAAGAACCAATGATAGTATATAGAGGCGCTGCCAATGTTAAAATTAGAACCCCCATGGTACGTAGATATTTTTATTTCAACTTACTGATAGGATTTTATAAATGTGGGAGTTGCTTTAAGTGCTCAGAAGTCGGTCCTCATTATAGCAGAATTTAGAATGATTTATTTGTGCTCCTGTATGTATTTTATTCCTTTATATGTTCAGGAGGCAGTTTAAAGATTTGTGATACTTGCTATCATTTGTTGTATGCTGGCTACCTGACGTAAGTGCTAATAATGCATGATGCCAGGGAAACATCAGGCATAAGCCTGTGAATTATAGTTGAAGTAGCAACACTTTGTATCATTGCTTCTCTAAATGGTCAAAAAAAGTAAAATGAAAATGCACGCCAAGGTCTTTTAGAGCCAGTTGAGTCCTGTTGTTTCTATAAACAAAATATAATTAACCCCTTAAAGGACCACACTAGGCACCCAGACCACTTCAGCTTAATGAAGTGGTCTGGGTGCATGGTCCAGCTAGGGTTAACCCATTTTTTCATAAACATAGCAGTTTCAAAGAAACTGCTATGTTTATGAATGGGTTAAGCCGTCCCCCTAATCCTCTAGTGGCTGTCTCATTGACAGCCACTAGAGGCGCTTGCGTGATTCTCACTGTGATTTTCACAGTGAGAGCACGCAAGCGTCCATAGGAAAGCATTATGAATGCTTTCCTATGTGACCGGCTGAATGCGCGCGCAGCTCTTGCCGCGCGTGCGCATTCAGCCCAGGAGGAGGATCGGAGGAGGAGAGCTCCCCGCCCAGCACTGGAAAAAGGTAAGTTTAACCCCTTTTCCCCTTTCCAGAGCCGGGCGGGAGGGGGTCCCTGAGGGTGGGGGCACCCTCAGGGCACTATAGTGCCAGGAAAACGAGTATGTTTTCCTGGCACTATAGTGGTCCTTTAAGGACAGAGCTTCAGAAGCTTGTCTTTCACTGAATGACAACAGCATTTTTTTCATTTTTTGCTGTTTGCGTTCAACTGCAATTTGCATTTTACTAATTTATTGCACTGACACATATTATATATTGTTTTTTAAAGGACATAAAGGACTTTAATTTGATGTAACACACATATATATAAATTCTTATTTATTATAAAAAAAAATACAGAAAAATGCAAACAAAATTAATATTTTTGTGGTTTTTTTTACAGTTTTTGCAATAATAATGTGTGCATAATTAGTGCAGGTTAAGGAAAGTAATTAAAAATAAATTAATTTAGTTGTTCTGATTTACAGAATATATAATGTGTCTGGGATTTTAAGTTTTTTTTGGTAGTTACAGGTGACAAAGCACAAGGAGTAAAATAAACTTTTAATGTGGAGCGATTTTAGAATTTGGTATGTTTGTCTTGTAAGCTTAATATCCATAAAATAAAACCAAATTGCCACACAAAAGTATATATTTATATAAAGTAGACATCACAGGCTATTTACCTAGGGTTTTTTTGACACTTTCTGCCATTTCACCGCCAACCTCTGCTAAATATTGTAAAATTGTGCTTTTTTTTGTTTTTGGCACACAAACTTATAACAAAGAAATTCTCATGTGTATTTTGTAAAGTTGGTGTGTGCTATTCCTGTACAAAGTTTTATTTTGTGTTCAGTTACATCTGCTGAGTAAAATTACACCCCCATTGTATGTCTTTGGCACTATTTCGTGAAGTTACAGTGCCATATAGGAGGCCTATTCTTTTCAGTATTCACAGTAGAATTTTGAGAGACGGATTTAATGAGCCTATGCTTCCATTTGGGGTATTATAACAGTTTGACTGTTCAAAAAAGCCCACAAAGGCCTACCATTTGTAAAAGTAGACACTCCAGGGTATCTCATAAGGTGCATATTGTGCCTTAATATGCCCCCATTCTTTCACCAATACATGCCAAAGTATGTGATAAAAAATAATTTTGTGTGTTTTTACATATGGATTGCATTTTTGCTGGGCATTTTGTATATTTCACATGTGCCACTAAGTTCAAACCCCCCAAATTATGTCCAGCTAAGTCCTCTGAGTAAAATTACACCCCATTGTATGTCTTTGGCACTATTTCGTGAAGCTACAGTGCCATATAGGAGACCTGTCCTTTTCAGTATTCACAGTACAATTTTGAGAGACAGATTTAATGATCCTATGCTTCCATTTGGGGTATAATACCAGTTTAACTGTTCAAAAAAACTCACAAAGGCCTACCATTTGTACAAGTAGACACTCCAGGGTATCTCATAAGGTGCATATTATGCCTTAACATGTCCCCATTTTTTTCCCCAATATATGCTAAAGTAGTGATAAAAAATAATTTTGTGCGTTTTTTACACATGGATTGCATTTTTGCTGGGCATTTTGTATATTTCACATGTGCCACTAAGTTCAAATCCCCCAAATTATGCTCGGCTAAGTCTTCTGAGTAAAAAGACACCCCCAATTGGCACTATTTCGTGAACCTACAGTGCCATATAGGAGACCAAGCCATATCAGTTTTTACCGAACTTTGAATTTTGACGCTGGGCCTATGTGCAATTTCCAAGCATCTTAGCAGGGTTTAAATTTAAACTACCCCACAAAGGCCTACCATTTCTTAAAGTAGACACCCCAGGGTATTTCAAAAGGTATATTTTGAACCTTAGCGTGGGATCATTTTTCCGCTAGCTTGTACCAAGTGTAGTGGTAATAAGTGTTTTTTCTGCCTTTTTGACACACAAAGTGAGTTTGCACAGTATATTTTGCAAACCTTATGTGTGCTACGACTGTATAATACTATATATGTTGCTCAGCTATGTCGTCTGAGTACAGCAATACCACGTATGTACCTTTGTCAGGTATATGTGGATGTTGAAGGGGCGCATTTGAGACGCAGCCATTCAGTTTTTTCTAACTTTGAAGTTTTACGCTGTGTCCATGTTCCAATTTGGAGTAGTGTGACGAGAGCAATCTCGCCACATTGCATTGGAGAAGCCTGGCTGCCCGCCTGCTGCCTTTGGACTATGGACCAGACTTTATGTAAATGTGTTAACCCAGATAGCTATGCCATGGAGCCCATTCGTGTAGTTAAAGACTTCGGCTCCATGGCAATTGAACTGTGTGAATAGGATTTGAGCGCTATTCGGTAGTTTTGTGCGCTCAGATCCCAGCTATCTGGGGATATGTGAAATGTCTGTGTGTTATGTGTAAAAGGTGACTTTATGTATTTTAAAGTGTTTTATGTCTTTTTGCAACCATGTGCTCAATGGAGTCTGCCTCTATCCCTGTTACCCCCTCTCCCCAGCCACAGCTTAGTGTACCAGGGGGAGACTGTAAGCCCCACACCTGTGCAGATGGGACCGTGGTCTCTGCACTCCGAGCACAGGGGGTAGGGACGGCCGGTCCGTCCCCCCCACGACAGGGCTGTTTAGCCAAAGGGGAGACAGTCGGTCTACAGCAGCAGAGCTGTGTAACTAAAGGGGAGACCAGAAAGGTCTCCAGCAGCAGAGTGGTGTATTTAATGGGGAGACAGTCGGTCTCCAGCAACCAGGCTTCAACCAGACTACTCCCGTGGTAGTGCTGGCATCAGGGCAGAGTACCGCTGGTTTCTGCCCACTCAGCAACCCACCAAAGCAGCCTACCAGTCCCCCACAGAGCCGTGGTGAGGCACCTGGACATGGACAAGTTTCTCCTCTACCCAGGTGTAGTAACCAGTTATTGTGGGTGGGCTGTATTGCTGTTTCTGTTTTGTGGGTGGGCTGCTGGACTAACAAGGGCACTGACCGGCAGGAGGTCAGATACCCTGTTAGTCTGTTTGGAAAAGGGGAGAGATGTGACGAGAGCAATCTTGCCACATTGCATTGGAGAAGCCTGGCTGCCTGCTTGCTGCCTTTGGACTATGGACCAGACTTTATGTAAATGTGTTAACCCAGATAGCTATGCCATGGAGCCCATTCGTGTAGTTAAAGACTTCGGCTCCATGGCAATTGAACTGTGTGAATAGGATCTGAGCGCTATTCTGTAGTTTTGTGCGCTCAGATCCCAGGGGATATCTGGGGACTTTATGTATTTTAAAGTGTTTTATGTCTTTTTGCAACCATGTGCTCAATGGAGTCTGCCTCTATCCCTGGATAATTGGATTACTTTCCCCATTGTCTCCAGAATAGAGGGCTCTGTAAAACCTGTTTGAGCCAGATAGCCATGTGCCAGCCAGGGCCCAAAAGATACTTTTACTAACTTTTGAACCCCTGGTCTGATTCATGCCATTTTTAATATGTTGTTCCCCTGAATGGATTGATTGTGAATATGTAATTTTATGTGAATGTGATGTATGGTTTTAGAGTTATGAAAGTTGGGTAGAAAGTATGTTTTAACTGTATGCGTAATTGAGTTTCCTCTCAGGATAAGGGGAGGGAATATGTGGGATGTAACTGATATGTGATTGGTTGTTTTATACCTCCCTGTGGGCGGTCCTGTATTTGAAAAGACTGTAATAAAAACCAGGCTGGGTGTGCCAGCACCTCAGACCACTGCTTGACTCTCAACACGGAGCCTTGTCTCGTTCTTGGGGGGATTCACTGTATGCTGTTAGAGACTGATTGCCAGGAGTGTAAGCTGATTGTCTGTTTTTCCTGTTCGTCTGCTAGCAGCTATTTGGGAGGTTCCAGTTCTGGAGTTGGAGTGCTATTTTGTATCCAGTTCAGGAGTTTGGTGTTCTGCAGTAGCTGTGCCTGTATCTCTGGAAAGGGGGCTGATCGCCTAAACGGTTTTTACCCCTTGTGTGCAAACCGGTCCGTTACAATTGGTGGCAAGCGGCGGGATCGTTCCTACAGCCAGAAGGACAGCTACAGGAGACACCATTTCTTTGGATTTACAAGTTAAGGGCAACGCATGTCCTAGTACAGCAACCCTGACAGCACCAGGATGGAACCAGCAGTGGAGTACAGCTACTCTATGAGAGAGTATGACCGGATGGTGTGGTTTCACCTAAGCTTCTTCGGATCCAACCCACTGGAGAGATCGGTGCGGTTCGTGAGGAACCTAGTGTTTGAGAGGCTGCAACAACGGGCAGAAAGAGAAGGTCAGTTGGCACGTTGGGAGAAACTCCAGCGGCAGATACAGCAGGGAATTGGGAGCCCAGTCTCCACTCCCCAGCGGCAGTGTGATATGCCGGGAATTGGGAGCCCAGTCTCCATTCCCCAGCTGCAGTGTAAAGTGCAGGGAGAGGAGAGCAGCGTCCTCCCTCCCCAGCGGCAGGCTGAGTTACAGGGGGCAGAGGTAGTTGTTCCTGCCCCCCAGCAGCAGAGTGATATGCCGGGAAGGCAGTGTAAAGTGCAGGGAGAGGAGAGCAGCGTCCTCCCTCCCCAGCGGCAGGCTGAGTAACAGGGGAAAGAGGTAGTTGTTCCTGCCCCCCAGCAGCAGAGTGATATGCCGGGAAGGCAGTGTGAAGTGCAGGGAGAGGAGAGCAGTGTCCTCCCTCCCCAGCAGCAGCGTGATTTTCTGGGAATTGGGAGCCCAGTCTCCATTCCCCAGCGGCAGTGTGATGTGCCGGGAATTGGGAGCCCAGTCTCCATCCCCCAGCGGCAGAGTATCCAGCAGTGAATAGAGAGCCCAGTCTCCTTTCTCCAGCAGCAGGACTCTGTATTGGGAGGGTAGACAGTCGGTCTCCCTCCACGGAGGCTGGAAGTATGTATGGGAGAGGAACTTGCTACCCCCTCTCCCCAGCGGCAGATTATCAATGTGCAGGGAATAGAGAGCCCAGTCTCCTTTCCCCAGCGGCAGAGTGTTCTATCGGGAGAGGAGCCTGTTACCCCCTCTCCCCAGCCACAGCTTAGTGTACAAGGGGGAGACTGTAAGCCCCACACCTGTGCAGATGGGACCGTGGTCTCTGCACTCCCAGCACAGGGGGTAGGGACGGTCGGTCCTGCCCCCCCACGACAGGGCTGTTTAGCCAAAGGGGAGACAGTCGGTCTACAGCAGCAGAGCTGTGTAACTAAAGGGGAGACCAGAAATGGTCTCCAGCAGCAGAGTGGTGTATTTAATGGGGAGACAGTCGGTCTCCAGCAACCAGGCTTCAACCAGACTACTCCCGTGGTAGTGCTGGCATCAGGGCAGAGTACCGCTGGTTTCTGCCCACTCAGCAACCCACCAAAGCAGCCTACCAGTCCCCCACACAGCCGTGGTGAGGCACCTGGACATGGACAAGTTTCTCCTCTACCCAGGTGTAGTAACCAGTTATTGTGGGTGGGCTGTACTGCTGTTTCTGTTTTGTGGGTGGGCTGCTGGACTAACAAGGGCACTGACCGGCAGGAGGTCAGATACCCTGTTAGTCTGTTTGGAAAAGGGGAGAGATGTGACGAGAGCAATCTCGCCACATTGCATTGGAGAAGCCTGGCTGCCTGCCTGCTGCCTTTGGACTATGGACCAGACTTTATGTAAATGTGTTAACCCAGATAGCTATGCCATGGAGCCCATTCGTGTAGTTAAAGACTTCGGCTCCATGGCAATTGAACTGTGTGAATAGGATCTGAGCGCAATTCGGTAGTTTTGTGCGCTCAGATCCCAACTATCTGGGGATATGTGAAAAGTCTGTGTGTTATGTGTAAAAGGTGACTTTATGTATTTTAAAGTGTTTTATGTCTTTTTGCAACCATGTGCTCAATGGAGTCTGCCTCTATCCCTGAATAATTGGATTACTTTCCCCATTGTCTCCAGAATAGAGGGCTCTGTAAAACCTGTTTGAGCCAGATAGCCATGTGCCAGCCAGGGCCCAAAAGATACTTTTACTAACTTTTGAACCCCTGGTCGGATTCATGCCATTTTTTAATATGTTGTTTCCCTGAATGGATTGATTGTGAATATGTAATTTTATGTGAATGTGATGTATGGTTTTAGAGTTATGAAAGTTGGGTAGAAAGTATGTTTTAACTGTATGTGTAATTGAGTTTCCTCTCAGGATAAGAGGAGGGAATATGTGGGATGTAACTGATATGTGATTGGTTGTTTTATACCTCCCTGTGGGCGGTCCTGTATTTGAAAAGACTGTAATAAAAACCAGGCTGGGTATGCCAGCACCTCAGACCACTGCTTGACCCTCAACACGGAGCCTTGTCTCGTTCTTGGGGGGGATTCACTGTATGCTGTTAGAGACTGATTGCCAGGAGTGTAAGCTGATTGTCTGCTTTTCCTGTTCGTCTGCTAGCAGCTATTTGGGAAGTTCCAGTTCGGGAGTTGGAGTGCTATTTTGTATCCAGTTCGGGAGTTTGGTGTTCTGCAGTAGCTGTGCCTGTATCTCTGGAAGGGGAAGATCTCCTAAACGGTTTTTACCCCTTGTGTGCAAAACGGTCCATTACAAGTAGTTTAGACGGTTTGTTATTGAAACTTCCCCACAAACACATACTATTTATTAAATAATACACCCTCGGATAATACAAAAGGCATATTTTGAACCTTAGCGTGGGATAATTTTTTCTCTAGTTTATTCCAGGTGTAGTGGTAATGAGCGATTTTAAATGTATTTTTTTACTTTTTGAAACTTTTTTACTTTTAAAAACTAGTTTTTAAACTTTTGTTTTGCTTATTAATTTTTTTTAAACTTTCCTAAAACTTTTTTTTACAGATTTAACATTTTTCTAAGCTTTTTTTTTACCGTTAACCCCTAACTAGCAGTAAGCAGCACTAAAAGTAAATTCCCCATTTTACCATAACTCCCACCCACCCCACTAGCAAAATATAAAATTATAAAATATTTAAATTAATTAATTAAATAAATTGAACTCCTGAGGGTTAAAAAATAAATAAAAGTTAATCCTCAGGAGTTAAAAAAAATTAGACCACAGTATAATACTGTGATCTGTATTTTGATTACTGTAGGCAGTGATCGACTGGCAGGGAAGGGGATATTTTTTATTAAAACTTTTTTAGCTTATTTTTTAACTTTTTCAAGTTTATTTTAAAACTTCTTTTAATGTTAACCCCTAGTTAGCTTAACACCAAATCCCCCAATTCCCCACTAACTTCCACCCACCCCAGCTAGCTAAATATATAATTTTAAAATATTTAAATTAATTAATTAAATAAAGTTAACCCCTGAGGGTTAAAAAAAAAAGAATTAACCGTCAGGGGTTAAAAAAAAATCAGATGACAGTAAAATGTAATCCCTGCCAATTGATCACTATAGTCAGTGATCAATTGGCAGGGAAGGGGTTATTTTTTTTAAAATGGGTAAAGGGGGGTGGGATTTTAAATTAACTTTATTTTTTTTTACACAGGGGGCAGGATCATCACTGTTCCGGCTCCCTTCACTTCACACAGAACCAGGAAGTGCAGGGAGGCGGAAGGTGAGTATATGCAGCACATGTGCTCGCTCTGACAGGCTGTATATGCCTCTATAATCCACCTCGTTATGGCAATCCCCTGAGTGACAGATCTCGTCCGTCATACGTCGTTAAGGGGTTAATAAATAAACAATAATAAATTCACATGGAGTTCTCTAGGACCAAACAAATACTGGGTAGGAGCCCAGAGAGATTTTTTCACCAATACATGCCAAAGTATGTGGTAAAAAACCTTTCTTCACTCCTCAAAAAAAAAAAAATATATATATATATATTTGTGTTAGGGGCAAATAGCCGTATATGGAGTAAGGTTCAAGTAAGAACGTAGGATAGTATAAAAGAGCAAAGTCGGTTGTGGTGTGCCGAGACCGACGATACGGTAGGCCTGTAAATAAAGAGGGCAAAAAGTGAATAACCAAAGATTTAATACAGTCAACAAATATATACAATTATCCAGACAATTCTTTAAAAGCATTTCTTAATTCTTGTGTAGGTTTGGGTATGAAAGTTGTATATGCAGATGACTTCCAACACCCTAGTGATTTAATGATGTGCACTGGTATGTTAGCACTGGAAGCTGTGGAGGCCGCCCCTATGTGGAAGGAGTGACCTGAGTAGTGAGAAGGGTTAAAACCAAGCATGGTTAACAGGGATCGGATGTATTTCATGAAAGTAGTGGTAGTGAGTACAGAGCCTTGTAGTGTGAATAGGTGTTGTGATGTGGTGATGTGGTAAGTGGAAGGTAGGAATCTAGAGCCACCACTGGACACCATTTGTTTTGGGTAGGGAAATAAGTGCTCTCCACTGGAGGTCGTGTTGGCTTGTTTTTGACTGGGGTAGTGATAGTATGTAGTGATCCATGTGTTTGCGTAGGTGTGTGCGTAGAAGACATCTGTCTGTCTGGGTGGTGGTGATAGCAGTGAATTCTCTTGACCTGAGGAACCCATAGAATGCTATGTACATGGCAGCTTTGATGACTGTGTTGGTGGTAGAGTGAAAAGGTTTGGAGTCCAATAGGTCAGATAATGAATGGAAAAGTGTGTTGTCTATAGGTAATCTCTGCGGAGGACGTGGAGGAATGGATCTCTGAATACCTCTGAGTATGTTCTTTATTTGATAAGATGTAATGAAGCTATGTGTATTAGGTTGTAGTGTAAGCATGTGATGTTGAATGCCTGTAAGATATAATTTGATGGTGTTGTAAGATAAGTGTAGTTTAAGGTGGCAAAAAGAAGTGAAGGCTATGATAGATGTCATGACAAAAGGTTGGAATATGTCGAGGTCCGATAGAAATCTTGTGAAAAATGTGAAGGCTCTGTTGTATGTTTTGTGAGTGTTGGATGATAGTGCCAATTTATACAGATCCCTGCTATGTTGCATGATTAATTCTAGTCCATAGTTAGCTGTTGGAACGGAGGGGCGGCTGTGGCTACTTGCGCTGCTGACGGGAGTGCTTGCAGAAAAGCCTGAAAGTTGAAACGAGACAGACTGTCAGCTGTTATGTTACTAATGCCTGGTACATAAAAGCAGACCAAGTAGAAATTGTGACATGCTGTTAACCACGTGAGTTTCCTGAGAAATCTCATGATTGTTAGGGACGATGAACGGCCTTTGTTAATGATGTGACATGTGGCTTGGTTGTCTGTGTGGCAACGGACTGACAAGCCTGACCATAAATGTTCCCACGCCACGGCAGCTGCTACAATGGGGTAAATCTCAAAAAGAGCTGATGTTGTAAAAAAGCCTTCTATTCATAGACTTCTTCAGGCCACTTACCCCAAAGCCATTCGTTCCCAAAGATTGCTGTGAAACCCGTGGTAGATGCCGCATCTGACCATATGGTTGGAGATATGTCAGACAATCCTGGGAGGAACAAGCTTTTACCATTCCAGGTGGTCAAGAATTCCTTCTA